GACTCCACACCAGCATCAGGGTTTCTTTCTACATCCTTGACCCCAGCACCAACACGGTCTCCTCTCCCTAGTTTCGCCTAAGCTCTTTTCTCTCTCCCTTCTAACTTCTCACTCAAATGGCATTTTCCTGAAGATGAATGTTCCTCACTCCCTTCTCTCCCCCTGCCCTGGAGTGAAGGGTGGGGGTGGGAGACACTCAGGGCTCTTCCCAGGCTCAGTTCCATCCCACAAGCTCCCTGCTCTGCCCCATCTTTCCTTATGGCTTCCACACCACATCGCAGACATTCTGGCATCCTTCCTCGGAGCCACAGCCTCCCATGATGGCTCCCATGATGGCTCAAGACACTGGAGGCATGTGTATAGCAGTTCCCAGTTAGGCTGTAGATGAGCCCGCTGAGGGTCAGAGCCTGTCTCTGACCCTCTTATTAAAGTATAAGTAACTGGCCTCGAACTCCCTATGTAGTTGAAGTTGATCTTGAACTTTTTTTTTTGGTCTCCCTGTAGCCCCAGCTGTCCTGGAACTCACTATGTAGATCAGGCTGGCCTTGAACTCACAGAGATCCACCTGCCTCTGCCTCCCAAGTGCTGGGATTAAAGGCGGCCGCCACCACGCTGGGCCTCTCTTCACTTTTTAAAACGACTGTCTCACTATGTAGCCCAGGTTGGCCTCAAACTTTTGCGCTTTCTGTCTCAGCCTCCTGAGTGCTGGGATTATAGGTATGCGCCACCATGCCTGGAAATTTTAGGCATTTGAAAAACTTCTCTGAGCCAGGTGTGGTGGCACATGCCTATAACCCCAGCTCTCGGGAGGTGAAGGCAGGAAGACCAGAAGCTGAAGGCCAGCCTAGGTGGCATAGTGAATTCAAGGCCAGCTTAGACTACTGAGACTCTGTCTTAAAAAAACAAAAATGAATAACAAAAACTCCGCTTCTCCTAAAGCTGGGCATGGTGGTAGACACCTTTAATCCTAGCACTTGGGAGGTAGAGGCAGGTAGAGGCCAGCCTGGTCATCATAGCGAGTTCCAGGCCAGCTAGGGCTACAGGGAGATCCTATGTCAAACAATAAAACAAGCCAGGCTTGGTGGCGCACGTCTTTAATCCCAGCACTGGGGAGACAAAGGCAGGCAGATTTCTGTAAGACTGAGACCAGTTTGGTCTACATAGCAAATTCCAGGCCAGTTAGCGCTACAGGAAGACCCTGTCTCAAAAAACAAAACCAAAACAGGAAAAACAAAACCCATCTACTTCTCCATGACTTACTTTTCTTCCTCTGTACATTTCATACCCAATATGTGCTTCAAGGTTAATTCCCTAAACTGACCTCAGCATCTTCTCCCACAAACTGCTCCTTGTCCATGTCCTTAGGGACCACCTTCAACTTGTCTGAGATGGCTTCCTCCCTCCCCTCTCTCAGTACTTCAGCCTGCCCTCCTGCCCTATCAAGTCTCCCCCAACCACCTGCTTCATCTTTGACCAGTGTCAGTCACCTGGGCCCTGCCTTACCCTCTTTTCTGGGACTTGGGGGCCATTTCTTGCCTCCTACAATTTTTTCTTCTTAACAAAAATGCTTTCTGACAGTCAGGCCTGACTACTCCGCTCAAAGCCACTTCCATGACTCCCCAGTGCCCAGTCTAAACTTTTTAGCTTGCATTGAACACTTCTTCCAACCTGACACTTGCTCCATCTACACATCCCCTCTATGGCTGCCACAGGCTGGAACACGTATTTTCTGAAACACACACACACACACACCCTAACTCCAAAGGCCTGTCTTTCCTTGCTCCTATATGCCTGTAGGTCCGTCCCCATTTCCAAACACCAAGGTCCATGATTAGCATCCCTCTGAGTTCACCTTGTCCGGATTCTTCAGAGTTCCACCAGTGGGTGGGGGAGGAGGCCCAGCCTGGCAGCCCCTCCCCCCATTCCAGCCTGAGTCTCAGGTCTCCAACAACAGAACCAAAGCCTCTCAGCAACTCTGGAACCCATTCAGGGTACCTGAGCCCCTCATCCGAAGCCAAGAGGGCTTCGGAGGAGGGGTGCAGCCCCTGGCAGACTCACCGTGTGGCCAAGGGCTCAAGGGGTGCCAGGGAGGTGACAGCTGACTTCATAGAGAGAGACACGAGTGTGATTTTCTTTCCCCAGCTAGGGGGACCGAGGGGCCATCAACAGAGTGGGAGGTCTCGACTGCCTGGCCTGTGGTTCAGGGGTCATGGCAGGGTGGTGACTGGCAGCCAGAGCACCATGGCCACCATCCAGTCAGAGACTGACTGTTACGACATCATTGAGGTGCTAGGCAAGGGTACCTTTGGGGAGGTGGCCAAGGGCTGGCGGCGGAGCACAGGGGAGATGGTGGCCATCAAGATCCTGAAAAATGATGCCTACCGGAGCCGCATCATCAAAAATGAGTTGAAGCTGTTACGCTGCATGCGAGGCCTAGACCCCGACGAGGCCCACGTCATCCGCTTCCTTGAGTTCTTCCATGACGCCTTTAAGTTTTACCTGGTCTTTGAGCTGCTGGAGCAAAACCTCTTTGAGTTCCAGAAAGAAAACAACTTCGCACCCCTTCCTGCCCGCCACATCCGCACTGTCACGCTCCAAGTGTTGAGAGCACTGGCAAGGCTCAAGGAGCTGGCCATCATCCACGCTGACCTCAAGCCTGAGAACATCATGCTGGTGAACCAGACCCGATGCCCTTTCCGGGTGAAGGTGAGTGAGGCTGCCTGGCCAGCAGCTTTGCCCAGGCTTGGGACACTCTGCCAGTCTCCCTGGCCCCATCACATGACTTTGAGGCCTTCTGGATTCCCATGCTCCCTGTCCTTGTAAATGAGCTCTAGTTCTCCCATCTCCCCATCTCAATTCCTTTTCTGTTTTGTTTTGAGACAGGGTTTCGTGTAGACTAGGCTGGCCTTGAGCTTGCTGAGTAGCTGAGGATGACTTAAACTCATGATCCTCCTGTCTCTACCTCCCAAGTGTTAGGATTATAGGCATGTGCCAACCACAACCAATTGGTTTTGTTTTGTTTTTGTAGACAGAGTCTCATATAGCCCAGCTGGTCTGGAACTTGAGATCTTCCTGCCTTCACCTCCCAGGTACTGACCGGGATGATGACAGGTGTTCCTCACCATGCCTAGTTTCGCCTCAATTCTGAGGTCTGATGGTCTCCTGTGCTCCCCTCTCCAGGCCTGAGGTCTTTGAACACTGTTCCATTCAACTTAGAACTCACTATGGTGATGAGGCTGGCCTCAAAATCACAAAGATCCACCTACCTCCACCTTCCAAATGCTGGGATTAAAGGAGTGGGCCATCATGCCCTGGCCTTGTGGGGATGACTTTTCAGTGGGGAACTTTCAGTAGGAGGATTAGGAATAAAGTATATCATGAGAGGGAGAAGGAGAAAAGAGAGAGTACAAGGGCAAGGATGTGGGGTGTTTGTTGCTCAGGGATGGGAGGTAGGGATGGTTGAAATTTACATGCCCTGGTCAAGGAGGCCTTCCTGAGAAGGTGCAATTAAAGAAGTCCTGAAGGACGGGGAGCCATATAGACAGTGGCAGGAAGAGCTTCCAAGTAGAGGGAACAGCCATTGCAAAGACCCTGAGTTAGAAGCATGCTGTGTGTATGTATTCTAGCAACACAGGGGAAGTCTGTGGAACGGAAGTGGTGAAGAGAGGGGAAATAAGATCAAAGACGGTAAGGGGCAGGGCTGTGCAGGGCCTTGTAGCCACAGTAAAGCCACAGTAAAGATAGACTCACACTATGTAGCCCTGGCTTGCCTTGAACTTGCTGTGTAGACCAGGTTGGCCTCAAACTCATGGATGATCCTCCTGCCTCTGTATCCCAAGTGCTGGGATCACAGGTATTCAACTCTCAAATGGTTCAGAATAGAACAGGAGCCTGGTCTGACTTGGGTGTTCATTTTGAGGGATAGAAGGAGTAAGACAAAAAGACAGGGCCTTCCTAAGCCCCAGCTGGCCTTGAACTTGATATGTAGACCAGGCTGGCCTCCGTCTCACAGAGATTCACCTGCCTCTGCCTCCCGAGTGCTGGGATTAAAGGCAAGTGCCACCACACTTGGTTTTAAATAAATTTTTAAAAAGAAAAAGAAATATGGGGCTGGAAAGACGACTCAGTGGTTAAGAGCACTGGCTGCTCTTATAGAAGACCCAGGTTCAGTTCCCAAAACCCACATGGCAGCTAACAACTGTTCATAACTCCAGTTCCAGGGGATCTGATGCCTTCTTCTAGCCACCTCTGGCATTGCACAACATGGATGCACTTACATACCTGCAGGCAAAACACTCATATATATAAAATAAAAATAATTTTTTTTAAAAGAAAAAAATGTGAGGGAGAACAGGGCGTGGTAGTGGATCTCTGTAATGTGCCAGTACTGGGGAGATGGAGACAGGAGACTCAAGCTCATCCTTAACTACATAGCAAATTCAAGGCCAGCCTGGGCTGTTAAAAAGAAAAAAAGTCGGGAGGCAGAGGCAGGCGGATCTCTGTGAGATTGGGGTCCGTCTGTTCTACATAGTGAGTTCCAGGAGGGCTGGGGCTACAGGAGACCCTGTCAAAAACAAAATAAAATGAAACAAAAGAAAGGGAAAAAAATGTGAAGGGAAGTGAGGGCTGGAGTGGGACCAGGGCCTCCTGGCCTGAGCACCTGAAGCTGGTGGCTCTACTCTCTGTTTATCCTTCTCCATCTATTGAAGACCTACTCTGTGCCTGACCTGCTTCCTCCTCCTCTCCTCCCATTTGTCCCTGGCTCCTGCTTTTCCTGCAGACCTCCTGCCTATGCCTCCCCAGCCCACCCCCACACCCCTCTCCAACCCACCCCCACACCCCTCTGAGCTTCTCCATCTGCCTGCTTGTCACCCTCTGGTGATGACTCTGAGCTGCCAGCCCTAGAGGGCAGGGTGGGGCCAAAGCAGACTTCACAGAATCCAGGGCCTCTCCCAGGGCAGGGAATGTTCCTTAGAGACACAGAGACAGGAAGAGCGGGATATTTCTACCCTGCAGAATGGAAGGACAGTGACCCAGAGAGACGACATCTGTATAGATTTAGAACGGCTCAGAGGGCACCTGGCTGGCACTAGAACCCCTACAGTGTTTGCAGAATGAAGGGACCAGTCCCACAGACACTGGCGCAGTGTCCAGTGTCACTCAAGCTCCCAGGGCCCTGGGAGTCTGACTTGGAGTCCAGACTAACGACTACTTCACGATTCAGCCTGTGCGTATGGAAGGGGAGGGGTTGCTGAGTCCAAATCTGAGAAACCCGGGAGGGAAACTGAGGCCTCCACTGAGTGAGTCACAGGGATTCAGTGAGACAGGAAGAGTGCCGCCTGGTGGTGATGGGAGGGATAAGGCACCCCCCCCCCCCATGGCTCTGCTGGTCCCAAGTGCCTGTCACATGTCAAGGATCTGTGGGAGTGTTGACAGTGTCTGGTAGTGAAGACAACAGAGGACTCAGCCTGCAGGGCAGGGCCTTCCTAGTGGGAGACACAGAAACGAAGATGCAGGATGCCAAGAGGTGAGAGAGCAGCTGTGAAGAGGCAGTTAGCGGCGGAGAAGAGAGAGAGAGGGGAGAGAGAGAGAGAGAGAGAGAGAGAGAGAGAGAGAGAGAGAGAGAGAGAGAGAGAGAGAGAGAGAAGCCAGACAGACCTGGTAATGCAGACCTGTATTCAGTAAACTGAGGCAGGAGGATAATGAGTTCAAGGCTTGCCTCAGAAACTAAGATAATGGTTAAAAATAAAAAAGTAAAGGCCCATTGTGGTGGCACACAGCTGCGATCTCAGTGCTTGGGAGGTGGAGGAGGATCAGCAGTTCAATGTCACCCTAGGCTACATAGTGAGTTTGAAGCCAGCCTGGACTACATGAGGCCCTATCTCAAAAAATTGACCAATAGGGGGGCTGGAAAGATGGATCAGCTGTCAGAAGCACAATCTTTTTTTTTTTTTTTTTTTTTTTTTTTTTGGTCTTTTTGAGACAGGGTCTCCCTGTAGTCACAGCTGGCCTGGATTCCCAAGTGCTGGGATTAAGGGTGTGACCACCACCATGCCCAGCTCACACCAGCTGCTTTTGTAGAGGACCTGAGTTCAGTTCCCAGCAACCGTATGGCAGCTAACAATTGTCTGTCACTCCAGTTCCAGGGGATTGATGCCCTCTTCTGTTTCCCACAGGCATTGCATGACACAAATGCACTTACATGCAGGAAAAACACTCATACACATAAAAAATAAAAATAAAATACATTTATTTTGGAAAAACTTAAATAATAAATAAATTAAGTTTTTAAAAGGCTGGAGGTTTGGCTCAGTGACAATTCTTAGCATACATCAGAGCCTGAGTTCAATCTCCAGTACCATAGAAATGAGAGACTGAGAGACAAAGGAGAAAAATTGCCAGGGCCAAAACACCCACCTGTTCATCATTATCCACTCTTTCCTGGGCTCTACTATACACCAGACACCCTTCCAGGCTTCTGAGCCCTACTACATGCTAGACACTCTTTCAGGCTTTTAGAGACATAGCCTGAACAAAATACAAAACTTCTGGGGCTAGAGAAATAGTTAAGCAGTTAAGAACACTGGCTGCTCTTGTAGATGACCTGGGTTTGGTTCCCAGCACCCACATGATGGCTAACAATGATCCATAACCCCAGTTTCAGGGGATCTGACACCCTCTTCTAGCCTCTGTTGGCATTGCACACACAGGTAGAACACTCATAGTCATTAAAAAATACAAAAAGCCAGTCGTGGTGGTACATGCCTTTAATCTCAGCACCCATGGAGGTCAGAAGAATGTGCGTATATATAATGTGTGTGTGTGTGTGTGTGTGTGTGTGTGTGTGTGTATTTTGTGACATGGTATGAAAATCAAAGCTGGGTTTGGTGGTGCACATCTGTAATCCCAGCCCTTGATAGGTGGAGGCAGGAGAATCAGGAGCTCAAGGCCAGCCTGAGCTATGTAGGGAGTTTGAAAACATCCTGGGATACAAGAGAACTGTGTCTCAAAACAAAGGGCTGCAGGTGTGGTGGAATACTTGCAAAAAAGAAGCAGAAGAGGAGGAGGAGGAAAAGAGGAGGAAGAGGAGGAGGGGGCGGTCCTTACCATTACCAGCACAAGTTCTAATGCAGAGAACCAGAGACAAGAGCACCAGACACCAGACCAAACACAGAGTCAAGCTAGTGGACAGAGACAGGGACATTAACAAGAAAGGAAGTCTCATGGGCACAGTGCCAGGAAGAATCACTGAGAGATGCAGAAAGGGAGATGCAGGGACTTGTCCTGGGATGTCTTTGGCTGTTAGCACCATTCCACCAGCCCATGTACTCCCATGTCCTGCACCCATGTACGCCTGTCCTCCACAGGTGATCGACTTCGGCTCAGCCAGCATCTTCAGTGAGGTGCGCTACGTGAAGGAACCGTACATCCAGTCCCGCTTCTACAGGGCCCCAGAGATCCTGTTGGGGCTGCCCTTCTGTGAGAAGGTGGACGTGTGGTCTCTGGGCTGCATCATGGCCGAGCTCCATCTGGGCTGGCCCCTCTACCCAGGCAACAATGAGTATGACCAGGTGCGGTACATCTGTGAGACCCAGGGCCTGCCCAAGCCCCACCTACTGCGCGCCGCCCGCAAGGCACACCACTTTTTCAAGCGCAACCCCCACCCAGACTCCAGCAACCCCTGGCAGCTTAAGTCCTCGGCTGAGACCAAGGTATGAGGGGCAGGCAGGCTGAGGACAATCTGTACTGGGGGACTGCTGCCTCAAGAGCAATCTAGGTTAAACCTCAAGGAGGACCAGAAGCTTGGGGGTCAGCTGTGGGGGTTATCACAGCAAGAAATATTTGGGTGATTCCAAAAGGAGGGACTGGATTTCTGAAGGCCAGCTCTAAGGCCACTGCAGCTAAGGATCTGGGTTAAGCCAGGCTCATGGCTCCTACCTGTAATTCCAGCACTCAGGAAGTTGCTGAGGCAGAAGAATTGCCTTGAGTTTGAGCGTTGCTTGGGCTATATAGTGAGTTTGAAGCCCACTGTTATAGCTCAAAAAAAAAAAAAATCAAACCAGGGGCAGGAGAGATGGCTTAGCAGTTAAGAGCATTGGCCACTCTTACAGAGGACCCTAGTTCAGTTCCCAGCATCCACAGGGTGGCTAACAGTCCTTAACTTCAGTTCCAGGTGATCTGATGCCCTCTTCTGGCCTCCATGGGCACTACATGCATGTGGTGCACTTGCATACATACAGGAGAAACATACATACACCTGCAATTAAAATAATAAAATATTTAAAATAATCAAACCAGCTGGGCATGGTGCCACATGTATTTGATTCCAGCCCTCAGGAGGTACAGGCTGGTGGATCTCTGTGATTTAAGGCCAGCCTGGTCTACATAGTGAGTGAGTTCCAGGCCAGATCCTGTCTAAACAAAACAAAACAAAACACCCACAGCTGTACATGGTGGCTAATGTCTCTGATCATAATACTGCAGCAATTGAAGGTAGGAATATCAGAGTTCAAGGTCATCCATGGCTACATAAGGAAAGGTCAAAAGAGGGCGACCGATCCCCTGGAACTGGAATTACAGACAGTTGTTAGCTGCCATTGGGTGCTGGGACTCAAACCCGGGTCCTCTGTAAGAGCAGCCAGTGCTCTGAACTGCTGAGCCATCTCTTTGGTGCTAGCCTTTGGTGGGGGCTGGAGCCACATCTCTGAGCTGGCTGGAGGTCCAGTTAGGTGATAGGAAGACCAAAGAAGGCTAGGTGTCCTTCCGACAGCTGTGGATTGGACAAAAGGGGAACTGGTGTGGGGGACCAGGTTGGACCACGCCAGTAGCAAGAGGGCTTCATGTCAGATCATGGGCAGAAGTGGAATTCTGGGGAGATCACTTGGCTCCCACAGCAGGCAGTCCTTGCAGCCCTGAGCCTGGACACATGTCCACCCTGTGTCCCACATGTCACCACCAGGTGCGACCACTAGAGCGCCGCAAATACATGCTGAAGTCCTTGGACCAGATTGAGACAGTGAACGGTGGAGGGGCAGTGAGTCGGCTGAGCTTCCCAGACAGGGAGGTGCTAGCGGAACATGCAGACCTCAAGAGTATGGTGGAACTGATCAAGCGCATGCTGACATGGGAGTCACACGAACGCATCAGCCCCAGTGCGGCCCTGCGACACCCCTTTGTGTCCATGCAGCAGCTGCGGAGCGCCCACGAAGCTACCCGCTACTACCAGCTGTCCCTGCAAGGCTGCCGCCTGTCACTACAGGTGGATGGCGAGTCATCCCCACCTGTCATGGCCACTGTAGAGGATGGGCCCCCCTACTACCGCCTGGCAGAGGAGGAGGAGACTGGGGGCCTGGGTGGTGTAGCAGGCAATGGGCCCCTCTTCAGGGAGGAGAAGGCTCCTGGCATGCAAAGAGCCATTGACCAGCTTGATGACCTGAGTCTGCAGGAGGCCAGGCGAGGGCTGTGGAGTGACACCCGGGCAGATGTGGTCTCTGACATGCTGGCTCCACTCAAGGTAGCCGACACTGGCCATCGGGTCCCTGACTCGGGCCCAGAGCCTATCCTGGCCTTCTATGGCAGTCGCTTGGCTGGCCACCGCAAGGCCCGCAAGGCACCGTCAGGCTCCAAATCTGACTCCAACTTCAGTAATCTCATCCAGTTGAGCCAGGCCTCACCAGAGGATACTGGACCCTGCCAGGGCAATGGCTGGGAGGAAGAAGGCCGAGGGGCCTCGACTGAGCCATCTGCCATCCCACAACGAGATGGACCCAGCATCAAAGATAGGACCATGGATGCTGAGGTAAGCAGGATGCACAGGCTGGGCTTCCAGCCAGGGTCTCTGCTAACCTTAGAGCTCAAGCTAGGGTGGGGCACAGGTTACAGGGCCATGCTCCTACACTGCCATAGTGTTCTCATGAGGTTCAGCAAACACTGCCCCCCTAGACTAGATGACAAGGTGAAGCTCAGACTAACACCCTCAGGACTGGACAAGGCTTGGCCATACTACTGACCCCAAGGGTAGTGAGGAGTGGGTAAGAAACGGGTAAGGTGCTGAGTGTGGTGGCACATCTCTGTAATCCCAGCACTCAGAAAGCTGAAGCAGGAGGATTATCTCAAAGTCAAGTCTAGCCTGGGCTACAAAACAGTACGTATCTCAAAAGAAAAAGTTCTGCAATAGAGTCCTTGCCTAGAATCCATCCATTAGGGGCTGGGGGCATGGCTCAGTGGTAGAGTGCTTGCCTGCACTAGGCTAGGGTTGTAATTTAGCAGGAGAGCATTGATTAAAATTCATCAATGAGGAGACTGGGATGTGGCTCCATAGTAGAGCACCTGCCTAGAATCCCTCAGTGAGGGGATGGGGTGTGGTTCAGTGGTAGAGCACCTGCCTAGAATCCCCCAGTGAGGGGCTGGGGTGTGGCTCAGTGGTAGAGCACTTGCTTAGAATCCACCAGTGAGGGGCTCAGTCAGAGTATTTATTTGTCTAGCATAGGCCAGGCCTTTGTTTCCATCCCTCAAACCTTCTCCCTAAGTGGGCAAGGCCTGCCCAGGGAGGGGTTCTTCATGCCTGCTCACCCCTCCCAGCAGACATGCACACAACCTAGCAGGTACTCACTTCTTGCTAATGTCCCTCTCTTCTCCTTCCACAGAGGTCAGGCCCTGAGCTCTTTGATCCCAGCAGCTGTCCAGGAGAGTGGCTGAACGAGCCAGAATGGACCCTGGAGGGTACCCGAGGGTCAAGGGCTCAAGGACTCCCACCCCGCCATCCCCACCCACATGGGCCACCCTGGGCCACCAACTTTCTGCAGCATGTTGGTGGGCACCACTGACGGGGACCCTACCCTGTCTGTTTCCAGGGTCTGAGCCAGCTGGGCTGGTATCTCCTCTTGACCTAAAACCACTCCTCAGAGCCATCCTCTGAACCCACAAATTATTCTTGCAGAAAAATAGTTATCTGTAATGTTCCTACGTTCCCACCCCCGGCACATGACTACTTCCCACCCCAAGTGTTGGAGGCCTTTAGTGTTTGGGCCATGCTCCTGCTCCCGGCCAGTGAGTTAGGAAGAGGGCTGTACCCCACTGGCCATGAGTGTGCCTGGGCCCTCCTGCCTCTGCCTATTTCAATAAATAACTTCCAAATCCTGCCTCCTGCCTGTTCTCACTGCCTGCACTGACTACGTGGGGCCCCCTCCTAGCACCCAGGGCCTGCCTGCCTCAGGCTATGACTGGTTGGCCACTGGCTGAGGCCAGTTACCATGGCACTGAAAAGTAAAGGCTGTGTAGGGCACACTAATATATCCCCTAAATATACTCAATTATACCTGGCATGGAGTGGGTTTATATTCCCAGAACTTGGGAAACTGAGGCAGAAGAGGATCACAAGTTCAAGACCAGCTTGGGCTCATTGAGAAAATTTGTCTTAAAAAAAGGCAGGTGTGGGTGGGGGGAGAACTGGAGATGGCTCAGTGGTTAAGAAACATGATATTCTTCCAGAGGATCCAAGTTCAATTCCCAGCACCCACATGGTGGCTAACAACCATCTAGAACTCTAGTTCCAGGGGATTGACACCCTCTTCTGGCCTCTGTAGGACATTGAACACACAGTGGTGCACTAACATGCATGCTGGCAAAACACTCATACACATACAATTTAAAAAATAACACTTTCTTTAAAAAGCTAAGGCTGGAGAGATGACTCAGTGGTTAAAAGCACTGGCTGTTCTTGCTGAGGACCCAGGTTTGGGTCCCAGCACCCACATGATGGCTAACAACTGTCCATAACTCCAGTTCCAGGGAATTCCATGCCCTCTTCTGGCCTCCACAGTCACTGCATGCATGTAGTGCACTTACATACATGTAGGCAAGACACATACATATTATATATATATATATATTTGGTCTTTTTGAGACAGGGTCTCCCTGTAGCCTCAGCTGTCCTGGAACTTACTATGTAGACCAGGCTGGCCATGAACTCACAGAGATTCGCCTGCCTCTGCCTCCTGGGATTAAAGGCATGTGCCACCATGCCTGGCTTATACATATTATTTTTTAAAAGCTAAGAGCTAAGAGCTTGGTACCTTGAGACTCCGCCCTCAGTATGGTCTGTGTTGGGCACACATCCACCAGAGTTTGCCAAATGTTGCTGACTTGTTCCCCCTACATGTGATGGGTTTGGCATCCTCCCACCCACACTCAGGACATGCAGAGTATAAACCCATTTGTGGGCATAAATTCATGCTTTGCATACATTCTGGTGTTCAGATATGCTGGTCCCCCCCTCCCCATGATTTAGCCCACACTACTCTGTGGAGCATGCTCAGTGTACAGCACGTCTCTCATGCTAGCTACATGCACACATGTTCAGTCCATGCCAGCCCATGTGGTCATACACTGCATGCCCAGCCCATGCCAGCCTCATGTGCACTGCACATTAAGATGCTCCCACTCTGAGGTCCATGCCACCTGTCCCCTACCTGACACCCCACCTCACACCACTCAGTCAAGCACAGGCTGTACTGATAATTATTTACTTATTATAATCTTGGGTCCTTTTTGCCCTAGAAAAGGGGGTGGGCCAGCAATCTGGGCCCAGCATGCACCCCTACTTCATTGGGGCCTGATCCCTCCCCCAGCTCTGCTAGGTCCCGGGCCATAGCATCAGGCCAGTGGGGGCGGAGGTAGCGTCGGGAGCATGGTATGGGAGGGGAAACCTGTGGAGCCACATGGGGCAGAGAGAAGCGGGGGTTGAGGGACAACAACAAGGGGGCATGGCAGGCCTTGGCCTGTCCACTGGGCTGGGCCTCAGAGCAGGCGACAAGCATTGCCCACGCTATCAGCTGAGGTGTCAAGGTCATGGCTGTAAGGGGAGTCCCAGTCCCTCAGAAAAACAGCCTCCAGCTGCCTGCGCAGGCCACCACGCCCATTCTGTGTCACTAGCAGTGAGGTGCCCGCAGTCTCTGTGAAGTAGCTCCCAGACCAGTTGGAGGTTCCTGGGGAGAAAGGGTGGAGCGTGAGTCCCATGAGGTGGCTGGGCCCTGGTGCCTAGACCCTCCGTTCTTGCATTCACCTATGGCACTGGGGGGCACTCACCAATGTAGGTAGCACGTTCAGTCACCATGTATTTGTTGTGGCTGACTCGGGCATAGGGGATTCGAGCCTGAGATTCATCCGCAGGAACCACAAAGAGTTTCTGAAAGGGAGGAGGTGGGTCGGGGGGAGCTTGAAGTGCAAGTTGGGGGATGCTGAGAAACTCTGGGATGGTGGGGACCAGAATAGGGTCCCATGCAGCTGGTGTTCAGTAAACACCAGCCGAGGAGAACCATGTTACCCCAACTATAACATTGCCTATAATGGCTTTTATTTGGGGGGGGCGTGTTTTTGAGACAGGGTCTCCCAGATGTCCTGGAACTCACTATATAGACCAGACTGGCTTTGAACTCACAGAGATCTGGCTGCCTCTGCTGGAATTAAAGGCATGCCTGCCTCTGCTGGAATTAAAGGCATGCGCCACCATGCCCGGCTGCTTTTTTTTTAAGGCAGAATCTCCCTGCAGCCACTGGTGGTCTGGAATTTGCTATGTAGACCAGGTTGGCCTCCATCTCACAGAGATCCACCTGCCTCTGTCTCCTGAGTGAGTGCAGGGATTAAAGGAGTGTTGCTACCATGGCCAACTTAAAATGGCTTTTTAAAAACCAATTAATCTGGGGCTAGAGAGATGGCTCAGTAGTTAAGAACACTGGCTGTTCTTGCAGAAGACTTGGGTTCGAATCCCAGCACCCACACGGCAGCTAACAACTGTAACTCCAGTTCCAGGTGATCTGACAGCCTCTTCTGTCTTCCACGGGCATTGCACGACATGGGTGCACTTACCTACATGCAGGCAATACACACATACACATAAAAATAATAAATGAAATTTGTTTTGTTTTGTTTGGTCTTTTTGAGACAGGGTCTCCCTGTAGCCCCAGCTGTCCTGGAACTCACTACGTAGACCAGGCTGGCCTTGAACTCACAGAGATCCTCCTGCCTCTGCCTCTTAAGTGCTGGGACTACAGGCATGCACCACCACGCCCGGGGAGCAGCAAGTATTCTTAACTGATGAGCTATCTCTCCAGAACCCCAGAATGGCTCTTGTTCTGCTCAGAAGTCTCATCTCTGATGTTTCTTTTTCCAAAAAGCCTGTCTCTGCCTCTGTCTTTCTGCCCTCTGCTTTTCAAGACAGAGTCTTACTTTGTATGTAGCTCAGGTTGGCCTTGAACACATTATGTAGTCAAGGATGACCCTGAACTTCTGATCCTCATGCCTCTACCTCTGTAATGCTGGGATTATAAATGAGCCACCACCCACACCATGTGGTGCTAGAGATTGAACCCAGGGCTTTGAACATGTTAGGAACACATTTTACAAGGTGAGTCATACCCCAGAACCCCAGAAAGTCTTTCTTAAACACCAGGAGAGGGCACTCTGTCCCTAACTCTCTGTCTGTGCCTCCCCATGTCAACTGTGAACCTCTGTCTGCACCTCCAGATCCTGGCCATCCCATAGTGCTCCCTCATGGCACCTCTCACTCTAGGTCATCCTGGTCATGACACGTGGGCTGCATGGGGCTGTGTCCCCAGCACTGTGCTGAGTGCACAGAAGGCTCAGGAGTGACCTTGGATGCGTGCTTACCACTTGGATGTCAAAGTGGGTGTGGTTGTCCCGAAGGGCAGCCAGGGAGAGCAGGAAGGACCGCATGGATGGCTCAGAGTGTCCCCAGCAGCTGATGAGCAAGCGCACTTTGACACCTCGCTCATAGGCAGCACGTCGAAGTCCATCATCAATGGCTGGCCAGAACCTGAGGGGCAGTAGGATGGGGATTCAGGTAGAAGAGCCAGTTTTATCCATTGGCTTTGTCTTCAGCTTTGGGAAGGCAAGCCGGAGCCCTGCATTGACTTCTGGGCCCCCAAACCTGCAGAGGACCCCATCACTGGTTCCCAACTCTCTTTCTATCTCCTTAGATGCCTTACCTCCTGTTCCTGGCTACCATCAGGCACCCCAAAGTCTATTCTTTGGGGTTTTTTAAATGTTTTATTATTATTTTAAAAAATATTTTATTACTTTTATTTTCTGTGTATGCGTGTATTGCCTGCATGTAGGTAAGTGCACCGTGTCATGCAATGCCCGAGGACAGAAGAGGCCATCGGATCCCCTGGAACTGGAGTTACGGACAGTTGTTAGCTGCCATGTGGGTGCTGGGATTCAAACCCAGGTCTTCTGCAAGAACAACCAGTGTTCTTTTCTTAACCACTGAGCCACCTCTCCTGCCCCTTATTTATTATTTTTAATTTATGTGTTTGAACATATTGCCTACATGTATGTAAATGTACCCAGGTCATGCAATGCCCATGGAAGGCAGAAGAGAGTGTCAGATACCCTGGAACTGGAGTTAGGGTGTTAGCTGCCATGTGGGTGCTGGGAATTGAACCCAAGTCCTCTGCAAGAGTAGCCAGTGCTCTTAACCACTGAGCCATCTTTCCAGTCTTGTGTATTTTTTGTTTTGTTTTGAGACAAAGTCTCCCTGTAGCCCAGGCTGGCCTTCCAAATGATGGAATTATAGGCATGTGCCACCATGTCTGATTTCCTCCCATCTTTTTCTGTGTGTGTGTGTATACATGTATGGGTGGGTGCACTTGCTTGTGTGGAGGTCAGAGGTCAACATTGGTGTCTTCCTTCATCTGTCTGTACTTTATTGTTTTAAAGATTTATTTTATACCAGGCGTGGTGGCGCCTTTAATACCAGCACTTGGGAGGCAGAGGCAGGCAGATCTCTTCAAGGCCAGCCTGGTCTACATAGGGAGTTCCAGGCCAGGTGGGGCTACAAGGAGACCCTGTCTCAAAAAGAAAAAAAAAACGATTTTATTATTTATTTATGTATGTGTGTGTCTGAGTGTGTTTGTGCTTGTGCGTGCAGGTGCCTGAAGAGGCCAGACGATGGCATCAGATCCCTTGGAGGTGGAGTTACTGGCAGTTAAAAGCTGCCCAATGTAGGTGCTGGGAACTGAACAGAGCAGGAAAGACTCTTAACTGCTGAGCCATTCTCCAGCCCCAATCCAACTTATTTTTCGAGACAGGGTCTCTCACTGAACATGGAGCTCCCTAATTCAGCGAGGCTGGCTGGGCCCTTTGGATCTGCCTGTCTCCATCACCATGTTGGGGTAACAAGTGCGTGCTGTCACACCTACCTTTTACTTGAGGTGCCAAGGATCCAAACTCATGCTTGCATGGCAAGCACGTTGCCCACTGAGCCTTCTACCCACCCCTCCTCCCATCTTATCTACTGACCCTGTTCTTCTTTAAGCTCCTCAACATAATCACCACCCCTACTCCTTTCTGATGATACTGGGAGTGGAGCCCAGGGCCTCAAGCAGATCAAGCAGGTGCTCAGTCATTCTAGCTCCCAATGGCTCCCCTTCTGTCTGTCTTCTTGCCTGTTCCTCTCCTGCCTGCTCTCAGAGCCACCCACCTCCCCTCACAGGGTTACCCATCCGGAGCCCTGCCTGTGCCCGCAGTACCTGCGTGGGTGGGAGAACTCCATGGTGGGCAGGTAATTCATTACTGCAATGTATATAAAGCTCCGGGCGTTGTCCACCACATTGAGAAGAGCCTTCAGGTCTGGGGTGCGGCCACTCGGACACAGGGGTGGGGGTGCACTCTGGGGGTGAGGGGACAGTCAACACATGTGTCCTGCCAGGGGCCGCTTCACAGTGGACCCTGTGTGCGGACAGTTCACCATGAGCCAGGTTCTATGGATCTCACTGCAAACTTAACCTCCGTGACAGGAAAGGCTCACCACCACATTTGTTGAACAGACCAGGAAATGGGCTCAGAAAGGGTAAGTCACTTTCGTAAGGTCACACAGCTGATCAGGGCAACAGGATTTGTTACACTTATTTATATGTATATGTGTGTGCATGTGTGCATGCTTACATATCATGGCACAAATGTGGAGGCCACAGGACAACTTTCAGGAGTCAGTTCTCTCTTTCCATCTATCATGTGAGTCCTGGGGATTGAACTCAGGCTGTCAGGCTTGGCAGCAAGTGTCTTTACTCTAAAAATTTGCACTGGCCCAAGGAGGCAGAATCTGAACCAGGCTGCCTGGTTCCAGAATTCAGGTTCAGGTAACTTCTGATCAAGCAGCAACAGCATTACTTGAAAACTTATTAGAAATGAAAATTTTGTGTGGGTATATATGAGTGTGCATGTATGTCTTTGTACGTGTGGGAACACGTGTGCCACAGTGGGCATGTGGGATCAGAGGACAGCCATAGGAGTGCTAGGATTGTAGATATGCACTACTGTGCATGGCTTTATGTGGGTTTTGGGGATTCAAACTCAGGTCCTTATGCTTGTTTGTTTGAGACAGGGTCTCATGCAGCCCAGTGTGGCCTCTAACTCACTATGCAACCAGAGGAACTTGAACTCCTGTTCCTCCTGCCTCTACTTCCCCTAATGCTGGAACTGCAGGCATTTGCCTGGGAAAGGTTTTAGCAAGTCCTCCAGAAGATTTTGGGGGCGTTCTGATTTGGTGTCTTCGGCTCTGTTGGCACCCTTCCTTTCCCTCACAGTCAGCCCTGATGAGGCAATTCCTCATGTGTCAGGGGTCACACCAGGCCCTTTGCCCAACTCCCTCAATCCTTAGGACAGATGAGGAAACTAGTACCCTAAAAGTAGAAGTAGTCATAGGGGAAGGTAGCGTCCATCTCTGTGGGAGACCATGGTCACAAGGGGCCCCAGTGAATCACGGTTCCATGCAGCTAACTATCCATAACTCCAGTTCTAGTGGAATAAGACTTTTTTGACTTCCTCAGGCATTGCAGAACATGGGTGCACTTACACACATGCAGGCAATACACTCATACACATAAAATAAAAATAATAAATAAGGCCGGGTGTGGTGGCACATGCCTTTAATGTTCAGTGCTTGCCTGGATTTGGTCTGCAGAACCACATAACCTGGGCATGGTGGTGCATGCTTTTAATTCCAGTATTTGGGAGGTGGAGGCACAAGTAAAAGAAATTCAAGGTCATTTTTGGCTACATAGTTCAAGGCCAGCCTAGGATACATGAGATCCTGTCTCAAATTAAATAAACAAATTATAAATAAATAAATAGGAAGAGCTGCCTGTGGTTGCTGTGTTAGACATTACCAAAAGCTTAGGGTGTTTGAGCCCACTTGCACCTCATACAGAAGTTGGAAATACTAGGATATTCATATTCTAAATGATAGAAATCAATGCCTAAGGAGCTTGGGACACAGTCCATGTTTTTGGAAAAGCAGAGTGACCAAGGGTGAAGACCACTGGTTTAGGCACCCTCCCCAACAATCACCACGCAAGGTTAAACAGAGGCTGCAAATGATATCATTTCCACTGACTTACTGCTAGGTAGGCCAGAGCTGGGGTCCCATTAAGGCAGATCTCCATTGGTGTCTCTTGATTGTAGTGAGTCTCATAGGATCGGGGCCAGGTTGATGGGATGGAGCTGCCCGCCTGGCCCAGGTACCAGTAGGCCTCAAAAATCTTGCTCAGGTCTCGAGCGAGGCAGCTGCAGTTGTACATGACCATGCCCAGCTCCTTGACCTGAGTTTGGGGATAAAGGTATGGTACCCATTTGATAGGGATGCTGTGGTCTCTCTACTCAATCAGCTCATCTGTCCCTCAGACTCCTGTACCTCCACCCTGAATGGCCAACACTCTAGAATTTAAATTTAGAGGCATGAACTTGACTTCTATTTTGAAGAAAACCATTCAATTATTACAAAGGTCTAGGGTACTTTCCTTCATGATACTGGGGATTAAACCTAGGCCTTACACATGATAGGCAGTGCTCTGCTACTGAGCCACACCCCCAGCCCCTGACTGGTGGACTCAAGGCAGGTGCTCTACCACTGAGCCACACCCCAGCCCCTCACTGATGAATTCAAGGCAGGTAGACAGATGCTTTACCACTGAGGTACATTCTCTGCTCTTAAAAAATGTATTATTTAATTTTTTAAAATTTATTCTTATTTTATGTGTATGAGCATTTTGCCTGCATGTGTGTAAGTGCACCTATGTCATGTGAAGCCCACAGAGGTCAAAAGAGGGCATTGGATCCCAGGACTGGAGTTATAGATAGCTGTTAGCTGCCATGTAGGTGCTGGGGATTGAACCTGGATCCTAAGGAAGGACAGCCAGTGCTCTTAACTGCTGAGCCATCTCTCTAGTGGCCTTTCCCCAACTTTTTTTCTTTCTTGAGGCAGGGTTTCATCATGTAACCCTGGCTAGCCTGGAGCTTGCTATGTAGACCAAGCTGGTCTGGAACTCACAGAGATCTACCTGCCTCTGCCTTCTGAGTGTTGAGATTAAAGGTGTGCACCACCCTGCCCAGGCCTAAAATTTTTACTTTGAGACAAGATCTCACAAAGTTGTCCAGGCTGGACTTGGACTTTGAATCATCCTGCCTCAGCTTCTCAAGAAGTTGCAACAGCTGCATTAGGCCCAGCTAGCACCATATTTCCTGCAGCTTTGCATACCTGTTGCTTCTGCCCTATACCAGTCAGCTCCAGCTCAGTCTTGGATACCAGCTACCTAGACTGTGCCAGGCATTTCTTTGGACTTCCTTCATCATTTTCTCCAGTGCTGAGCCCATCTTTCTAACTGGGCGGGAGGTTAGGCATGCCGGAATGCTGCATCTTCAGCATCTCCCTGTGTAAATGCTGAGACCAGGGGTCTGGGGAAGTATTTGCTGGAATGAAGTGATGAGTTCTGTTCTCTCACATTTATCACTGCCTGAACCTTCCTGTATCTTGTGCTAGTCCCTGCTGACCCTTCAGGATAGCAGATTGGCTATTTCAGTGTGTGAGAAACCTTCCCTAACACTACAGCAGCAGATGTTTCTCTGCCTGCACCCCCACCCCCTTGGATCCTCTGCCTGCACCCCCACCCACTTGGATCCTCTGCCTGCACCCCCACCCCCTT